TGCCTTCACAACATGTCCACGCCGCACGGAGGGAGCAGAGTGGGCTCTGTGTGGGTGTCAGGAAAGCCCCGCAGCTCCTGGCGAGCTGGCCAAGGTGGCCGTGGCCAATCAGCCCTCCTTGATGGCCCTCCTGGCTTTGCTTCTGCCCACCTCCATTCCAGGGGTCTTAGTGGCTCCCATCACTCATGGGTCCCTGCATACTGGTTCCCTAGCCTCCTGCTGCCCATGCCCACGCAGCAGCAAGAGGCACGCCTTCCGAAAAGGCAAACCCAATCAAGCCCCCTCCCCTCAAATCTCCCCAGTTGTCTGGGAATATGGCCCAGACCCCTTGGCATGACTTTCAAGCCCTTTGGGATCATGTTACTGCTTTTTCTTTTAGGTTACTCCCAAATTCTCTTCCTTTTCAAGCCTCCTCCAACCCCACCATTTAATTTCCTGCCACAGTGCCTCAAGTGTACCTTGCTTTTTCTTGCCCCCGCAACCCCCCCCCGCCCCCGCCTTGCACAGGTTGCTCCTTCTGCCTGGAATGCCCTTCCCACCCATTCTGATCTGCTCACTCCCTCAGGCCCTGCTTGGCAAGCATTCCTTTCTCCCAGAAGACTGGGAGACCTGGCAGGTTGAGCAGGAACCCCTTCCTGGGTGCCCATAGGCCCTGGGCTTGCCTTTCTTGTAGCCCTTAGCACCCGTGCCTGTGGTTTTCTGCTGGACTGCTAGCTTGCTCGGAATGGGGTCTCCAGGAGAGAGGGATGGAGAGGGGCTCATCTCAGTGTATGGAGAGCCCAGGTGGCACCTGCATGTTTCTCTTTACCTTTTGCAGGATTCAGGGCTGGGTGTTCAGCCAGGGAACTCAGGGCTGGGTGAGGTTGGCATGGGGCTGGGCACCAGGCTGTGGGCGGAATTTGGCTCCTTGGGCTGAGTGGGGTCCTTGATCCCCTTCGCAGGCTGGGAAGAGGTGGGGACCAGTCTCCCATCCTGAGCCTTCCAATCTCTTTCCTGCCCAGCATCTGCCTTGGCTGTCATAGCAACAGCCCGCCCAGGCAGCTGGGCCAGCCAATGGCAGGGGGTTGTGGTGAGGTAATGCCCAGGGCTCACAGCCAATTGGCTGCACTTTTGCAGGGGGGGCCAACCCTAATCTGGCGGGCTGGGACCAAGGGTGGGAGCTGGCATGGGAAGGAGAGCACTCGGGAGCTCTGGGACCTTCTCAGCTCGGGTTGGTTTGATTAGGCCCCGTGCTCCTCAGCTCCCGTCCTTCCCCCTGCCCTGGGTCAGTGTGTCCTCACCCCTCTTTCTAGGCGCCCCCTTCCTGTCTTGGTCCTCCTGTCTGTTTGTCTCCCTTAGGGCCTCAGCCATTCCTTCTCCACCCTCTGCCTCTGCCTGTCTCTGGCTGGCTGGGCATCCCCCCACCCCCAGTGCGCCTCTGTTCCCGCACCCCTGCAGCCTCGCTGGGCTGGCTGCTGCCTTCTCCAAACAAGGGCGCAGTCAGAGCTCCTTGACTCGGCCCCAGAGGGTGACTCATTGCTTCAAACCGCAAGGCCACCTCAAAAGCCTCTGGGCACCTTCTTCCGAGTTTGTTGGAAAGTTCTAGCACCTTAACTTAGATCTCGAGACCTCAGTGAGGCCCAGGCCAGACTTTTCTCTGATATGCCTCTCCCGACCTTTGTTCTGTTGACTTGTCACCCAGTCAGAGGAAAGCCTGGATGCTCTGTGTTCGGGTAAGGAAGGACAGACTTAGAGGGATACAGGCGGAAAATCAGTAACTACAGCAGAGACACTTAGGTTAGACAACTGGAGGAACTTCCAGAAAACTCCAAATGTGCGGCCATTGGAAGGAGTGACTGCAGAAGGTAGTGGAGTTCAGCTCTACCGTCTCTTGGTCCATCAACATGACGTTGCCACCCCTTGGTGCCAGGCTCTGTGCTTGGCTCTGTCCCCTGGGCTCCAGGAGCCGCAGCTGAATGAGGGAGTCACACACACAAGTCCTGGGCTTTAATGAGATTCCAGAGGAGGGTAAAAGTTCCCCTGGCAGGTGTGTGTAGGGCTCAGGAGGAAGCGTCCAGGAGGAGGTGACTTTTGAGCTGGTGTATTTAGGAGAATGGTCAACGGCTTGTCTGGATCAGCCTGAGTGGGCAAAAAAGCGGGCCAGTCTGGATGGCTTAGTGGGGGGTTGGGAAAGTGGGGAGAGGATGAGGGATCTGGGCAGGGAGAGCTTGGTCAGGTGTGTGTTTCGTGCAGTCCTGCTGGCAGCCGGGCCTCGATGGATGAATGGACGGTGTGACGGTGGCGATGGGCCAGGAGACATGCAAGAGGTCGAGTGGATGGAACTTGCTGGCTCATTGGAGGCTGAGGGGTGACAGAGGGGGAGCCATCCAGGGTGGTGCTGTGTTTCCAGTGGGAGCAGCTGAGGATGGGGGAGTAGGGAAACAGGTGGGGGCAGATTTCAGGGGAAAGGTGGTTAATTTGGAGGCTGAGGTGCTTGTGGGACATCCAGGTGGGGCTTTCCGTGGGAGAGGCCTGAATTGGGGTAACCAGCCTAAGTGTGGAGACAACCCTCTTAAGGTGTGGGACATTTAAGAGCAGCTTTGTGGGGTGAGGGTAACCTTTAGAACCCCGGGGAGATCTGCAGAGGGGTCAGGAGTCCTGGGCACTTATCTGGATTGTGACACTGGCTTGCGTGACTTTGGGGAAGTCGCTCTTCCTCTCTGGCCACTGTCCTGATTTGTGAACAGGGCCTCTCAGATGTGGAAAGAGGTTTGGGCCACTGGATATGGTTTTAAAAAAAGTGAAGATGTGCAAAAACAGGGTAAGGAAACTGGTGGTTATTCGCTAAGTTCACATTTACAAATTAACATTGTGAACAGAGATGGGGATTGTGGGAGGACCTCACTTGGGGATACAAGTCCAGAACTGTCATGATGGGAAGTAGATGCCTGGTCTTGACCTTCCAGATCACCTGGAGCAGTTGTCCCCTTTGGCCGGGAAGGTGCCTGGCGGGGGCAGAGTGAAGGTGTGGGAAGGTGAGGAGAGGCTGGTCAACACCCAGGTCGGAGCACAGGCTGCTTCCTGCCCTAAGCCTGGACATCCACACCCCAGCTTCTGCCAGAAAGAACTCTGCGTCCTTTCTCTGGGACATGGAGTTCCATCCATCTGAGGCCACTGTGACTTCTGGCCTGTGGGTTTCCATGGGGGAAAGCCCTTGATTGTAGTTCCTGCACCGTCACACTCCTCCTGGCTCGTCTCTCAGTTCCAGAGGGCGCCAGGTACAGTCTGCTCTGGGTCTGCCTTTGATTTGCCCTTGGGCTTCCTCGTGGGGTCTCAGAGCCTCAGCAGCTCTGTGTCCTCAGGCTGTAGCCAGGAGACTGGCACAAGGAATGCCCTTAATAATTGTTGGTTTAATTTAATTAAATTGCAAAGTAGTTCATTTGGCTGGAGCATGGGTGTGGGGGGAGAGAGGAAGAGAAAACTTGTGCTATTGGGGCCATGACAAGTAAGACAATACCTGCAAATACAAACCAACAAATATTTGCAAGTCTGTATCAGATTGCATTTGGCCTAATGCCCCTGAAAAGCTTCCAGAGCAAAAAGTAGATGCACAATGAAATCCTCCATCCCTCCACCCCGCCTCGTGTCCCCTGTGTCCCTTGAAAAACAGCTTTAACAGGAATTAATCATAAATACATTCTCCTTAGCCCAGAGGTCACGCGCAAGGACCTTTTCCCCTCAACAGTGACCTACCTTCAACCAGACTCCAATGGACATTGCAAAATCTACTGTCACCCATTTCATGACACATGATAAGGATTTAGTGAATTATTAGATGCAAAGTATTTAGGACAGTGTCCTGCACATAAGAGTGCTCTGAGACGTTAGTGTTTGTTATTGTTAATAATCTTTGGGCTTCCTTGACCCTCTCCCCAGAGCTGACCTCTTAGTGGTGGGGGGCAGGGGGGGCTGGTTTATGCAACATCTGTTTAGTGCTCCTTTGCACATTGAGCAATGATATCAGACTCTGTGTGTGTGTGCGAGAGAGAGAGAGAGGATGTGGACATGTGTGTGTGTGTGCACGTGGGTTAGAATGTCCACACGAGGCTTGCTTTTTGGCCTTGATTGCAAATGTCAGCCCTGTGCCATGTGTCAGGCCCTGCTCTGGGCAGGAAAGACTTTGTGTCTAAAAGCCCTGCTCTGAAAGGCGTGGACAATGCCGGGTCAGGACTCCGGCAGACGGCTGATCAGCCCAGGGTTGGGGGTCTGGCTGTGGTCGGGGAAGATACCAGACTGGTAGGAGCTGGGAGTCTACCCCCAAGGGCATAGAGAGGCAGCACTCATATAAATGAGAATGATCACTTAGTACCTGCGACAGTGCCCCAGACACCTCACTTCATTTCTCAGATGAAGACACTGAGCCTTAGAGAGGTTTGGAAACTTGCCCAAAATCACACAGCAGGAAAATGACAGATGGACAAGCTGAGGGTCAGTGGCTTTCCGTGAGTCACCCAGCATGTGAACAGCATAGCTTGGACTTGAACTTGGGTCTCTCTGATTCCAGAGCCAGTGCTCTTAATCATTACCACCCTCCCCAAGCTATCCAGTGAGAACTGACCAGGGGACAGAGTGGCTGATTCTGCTTGGAAGGGACAGCAGGTAAAAAGTGAGGCATAATTGACAGCTGGGAGCTCTCAGGGAAGACAAGGGTGGGGGAGGCCATTTCACAGGGGAGAATAGCTAGAGCAAAGGCACGGAGGCGTGAAATAGGGTGCCACGTTCTGGTAGTTTATGGCTAGCCCATTGAGCAGGAAGACGACCTCCACTTTTCGCTGCCCCTGCCCCCATCTGGGCTCAGAAAGCCTGATTGTCCCCACTTCCCTCCACCCCCTCCTGTTAGACTCCTGGGATATGGACAAGAAAGGAGCTTGTCTTTCCTGCCTCTGCTGGAGTCCTGCCGCTGAGGTTTGGTTACCATGGCGACGGGCTCCATGGAAACTCACAGCTGGCCATTTCCAGGATGGGCCTGGACCCCAGCCCACCTGCTGATGAGTCACCTCCCCTGGCCTCAGTGTCCCCAGGAGGCACCTGGGTGGTCACTCTGCTGCCCAAGTGCCCAGCAGTCCACCTGGCAGGGGCAGGAGAGCCCCCAAAGTCAGAGAGGTGAGGACTGCAGCAAGCTGGCTCCATCAAGTAGCTTCAAGAGCCCGCATTAAACTCAGGTCACAGAGACCTCAATTCTCTTCTATTTAGGCAAATTGGGGGGCCAGTCTTTGTGTGACCAGCACTGGATATGCTTCCCCCGGTGCTCTGCACCCTGGTCTGTTCCACTCTGAGGGCTGCTCCAGTTTTCTCTCTGGCCCTGCTGGTGTCTGAGTTCTGGTGCACCCCACCCATCATATATACACCAGGGCACCCACGTACATTCCATTTCGGAGAATTGGTACACTGTGGCATCTGCTGCTGGACAGAACTGGGAGGTCTCCACACTCAGTAGTCATGTGACCTGAACTCCCTCTTTCAGGGCCTTGGATTCCGCATCTCAGAACACATGCTTTTCAGGGCTACTTACGCAGCCAACAAACATGCTGAAAAAAATCTGTATCTCTCCAGCACTTAGTTATTGTGCTTTAAATGCATGTGTTGTGCTAAGAATTTCCCTCGCATCATCTCGTCCTCTCGTGACAGCTCTGCCAGACTGGACTCTTAGTCCCAATTGATAACTGAAGACACTGAGGTGGCGCAGGCACAGGACCCTGTCCAAGGTTGTGCAGGATCATCCCGTGACAGAACAGGATGGAAAAGGCAGGTTCATCTGACACTGAAGTTAAGTGTCAGAAGTTAAGTGTCAGGGTTAAGTGCTCTTAACCCTCACGGCTCATTTTTGTTGAGCAGCTACTACAGAATGACCTGATTTCTGCCCTAGGTGGTATCTACCTACTGGGGGAGAGGGAAAGAAATAGAATCTATGTTGTCATAAGTGGCATGTGGAAGTAGAGGGTAATGGGGGTGTTCTTCCCAGAGGGCAGGTGGTCAGGGGTCTTTCCAAGGGACACAGAGGATGAGGGATCTGAATGGTGAGGAGTCTGCAGTGAGAGGGAAGCGGCCAGACACACACAGCAGGGGCAAAGGCTGGCTGGGGGCCTCCCTGGTGGTTCAGAGGTTAAAGACATAGCACTATCAAGCTATCACCAGCCACTACAGCATGAGTTCGATACCCAGCCAGGGAGCTGACCCACATGGCACAGCAGACCTCTCCTGTGTCATCCACTGCTCCCCTCAGCAGTGTATTTTAGTCAATCTGCCTGTTCTGTTCCCCATTCTCTCTGGTGAATCCTCTCACCCTCTCCTCCTCCCCCTCCACACCTCTAGTCTACACCCCAGTTCTTGTATGCATAAATAAATAAATCTTTCAAAAAAAAGGCCTGGCCTTCATGGATTTGGGGAGTCCTTGAGTCTGGAAAAGGTCAGAGGAGCTTGGAGGTGGTGACTGGGTGAGAGAGGCCCAGGAGGAGTGGAAGAGGCAGGGAAGTTTATTCCAAGAGCAGTGGGAACCACTGGAAGGTTCTAGGCAGGAGAGAGGATTGACCTGATTTCTGTAAGCAGCAGCTCCCCCTGGCTGCTGTGAGAGGTGTGGGGAGGAGAGGGGCAAGAAAGGAGGCAGAAGAGGAGCAGTCCTCAGGTGAGGAGGGTGGTGCCTGACCAAGGCAGCTAGGGAGGCTGCTGGGCCTGACATAGTTGGGGCGGGAATAGACAGATTAGCTGACAGACTGTAAAGGGGGGTGATAAACAGGAAAGATAAAGGCAGCTTCTGATTTCTGCCACCAGTGTGAGGTGGGGGTGGGGGGGATGTGATGTTGCCTCCTGAGGCTGCAGAGCCTGGGGTGGTGCTGGGCAACTGACTTTTGGGGGAGAAACCCCAGAGCTTGCATTATGTGCCTGGGAGCCCTGTCATTAGAGGGTGTCAGGTCCGAAGTCAGGAAGGAGATCTGGGGTGCAGGGATGAATTTGGGAGCCAGTACTATAGTCAGGGTATTTAAAGCCCTGGGTCTTGATGAGATCAAAGAAGGAAAGAGTGTAACTAGAGGTGGGAGAGGAAGACAGGAAAAAAGGGGAAGGAGTGGAGAGAGAGGGGCTGGAGAGCAGGGGAGGACAGAGCCGAGGGGAGGAGGGGCGAGCAGGGAGGGCTGCGGAGCCCAGAAGGCACTTGTGCTTCATCAACAAACCTTGCATGTGAGGCCCTGGAGAGCAGATGGTGGGTCCAGATCCCTGAGTCCAGCAGCTCTCAGACTTGGTGGGGGGGCAGCAGGGAATCTGTGAAGGGTCTGAGGAGGGGCAGCCAAATTTACTTCAGAGGGCCAGGAGGGGATGGGAGGCTGAGGGCTGCCAGATGAGGCCACCTGGTGAAGAGGGAGGGGGATGGGAGCAGAGAGGGGTGCAGGGGGCAGGTACAAAGTGGAGGAAACAGGCCTGTGGAGGGTGTAGGTAGGCCGGGACCCCAGGAGCAGGGGTGCTGAGGTGGAGGGGAGGAGCCTTGTGAAGGTCCGCAGCTCCTTCCTCTTCCCAGTGCCAGTCCTGGGTGGGGGTGCAGGCCTCCTTGGAGTCAGCCTGGGGGCCCGCGTGAGTGCGAGTTGAGCTGCCTGACCCTGCAGCTGGAGGACAGCGCACGTGTGCACACGTGCGTGCTGGGTGGGCTCAGACAATGGCTGGGGCCGCATGGAACCAAGTGACTTGGAGACACTCATGAGCTGCGGGCTTGGGCCAGGAACTCAGCTGCTCTGAGCCTGGGGGTCTCGCAGGGACAGGGGTGATAATAACTTGTGAAAATGCTTTGCCAGCTCCTAGGGTCTGCCCAAGCACGAGGAGGAGGAGTCATTAGTGCTGCCCAGGCTGCAAAGCTCAGCATGAGGCATAGTCCCCAGACTTACTGAGAGAGAGAGAGAGAGAGAGAGAGAGAGAGAGAGAGAGAGAGAGAGTCTAATAACAAGACAGAGGAGGAACAGACACGGAGACAGAGGGCAAGAAAGAGAGACTTAGGCTGGGGGAGGGAGATGGAGACTAGAATGAAGAGAGATTAAGGAAAGAGACAGAGATAGAGAGCCAGACAGAGACTTAAGAGACACAGAGTCAAGAGAGTGAGAGACAAAAAGACAGAGACAGTAATGGGGAGAGAGATAGCGAGGTGGTGGGTCTCAGAACAGCAGCAGACATGCCTGGGAGGCAATGCTGTGAGTGATTTTGACTTTTATACTTTTGCTCATATTATTTTCTGATTTTTCTTCATGTCGACTTAAACATTCTATTCTTAAAGAGATGGTTTCTAGATGTAAATTGAATTTTAAAAACTTTTTGTCATCTGGAAATATCTATGAAAAGCTTTACCATTTGCATGCAAATTGACCCAGAAAGTTTGCTTCTTAGAGTTTATTCGAAGGAAATAAATCACAATGTGCAAGGAAGGTTTTGAGGTTTATTTAGAATAGCCTTCTTCCCCCCCCAAAAAATACAAACACAAATAGGTGAATAAAATGAATAAAAGATGCTCTGTGGCATGGAGATACATGACATATTATGTAAATAAAAAAGCATGTTTCAAAAAGCTATAATCTAACTCAATTTTGTTCGGGAAAAACAATGTGTGTATGTGTACATGGAGAAATATCTGGAATTTTAATCACCCAGGTGATACCGTGGTGTACAACAATACAAACAAAATTATTTAAAATTTTGTCTGTGCACGATGAGGCATGAACACAGGTAGGGCTGTGTCCTGTCTTCCGCTCTGTCCTCCCAGAAAGTGGAAGCAACTGTTCACCGTCTACCATATGATAATCCAGCTTGATTTTGATGGTCATAATTAAATCGCACCTCTTCCATGTCAGTTCACACGAATATATTCCAGTTGTGTTGTAGCTAGGCTTCCTACAGAGGCTCCCACAGATGCCACCCATTCAGAAAAAATAATCTCTCCAATGTTTACAGGTGCTGACAGTTTGATCACCTTGTTCAAGTAGAGTTCTGTCATCTCTTTGGGTGCTCACTCTGGGGGCCTGTTGATCTCCAGCAGGTGAGCACCATACATCATCACAGGTGTATCACAAACGTCTGGGGGGGCATGGGTGGCGGCAGATACTAAAGGTGGAATATGCACCTTCAGAATCATTCTTTGTTTTTTCTGTTAAGATTTTGCATGTAGCATTACCATACCATATAAAAATTATAGATATTTATTGTTTTATATGCATCTCAAAAGAATTTGATGTGGCTTCCCCAATTGTTTATGAATAAAACAGGGTAAAAATAATTGAAGAATTAAGGTAAAAAGAAAATAAGATAAAAAGAGTAACATTAGTGAATAAATCACACCCCACAAGATAATGAGGAATTACTAGATTGGGATGGCAATTCTGATTTTTCCACGGGCTTTTCTGCATTAAATATGACCCGATATAGGGCACAATGTAAAGAAATATAAACCTTACGCATAAACTGCTGCCCTTCTCCCGAGCTCAGCTCTTAGCAACTTCTATGCAAATAACCTTGCTGTTTCTTTTAAAGTTGGGAAAATAGTTCTATTCTCTTATCCCACTATTTCAATGGACAGTGACCGCTTACCAGGAGAGGCCCCACATCTGTCCTTCTGTGTCCCAGGAAGTCCATTGGAGAGAGGCTTCTGTCCTCCAGCTTAAGTGCAAGTATCTTCTCGGTGGAAAGGAATTAGCCTTGGCTAAAGTGTAGACTTTAAACTTCCTTTCTCCAGTACTTTCCAATGTTTTAATATTTCATATTCTTGGTCCAAAAAACCAGACAAGCTTCAGCTGCACCTCTGGTCCTTATCCAGATAGCATTTGCACTCTGATGATGATTTTATTCCAAGTGAGATGTTACCTTAGCAACCAACATACCAACTCACTCAATTAACCCGCTTCCTCTCTGTAATCAATACTCATTAGCACCGAATCACTTCTTTGCTTTGCCTTGCAGTTTGAACCACTCATTCAGGTCAACCTGTTTCCTATTTGAACCCAACAGAACCCCTCTCCGTGGGTCCTCCGAGGCTGTCATCCCGATTCGGGCTCAGCCAAGCAGTACCGGCTGGTGATCTCGGTGGGTTTGGCAGCGGAGCCTCTGCGGTGGCTTCTGGTGTTTCTGTGGAGTCTTCCCTACAGTGGAACTGGCAAGTCGGAAAATGGCACCTGGCATTAAAAACCAAAGAGACGGCTTCTGCACGCAGATGAGACTCCTGGGAACTGCAGGATGTTCTGTGACAATCGCTGTGGACTGTAGGGTTTGCCACTCGAGAGAACAGGGTTATTATAAGACCCAAAATAGTCCTGCTCTAGTTCTAAGGTGGGGAGATGAAAGTCCAGACAACTTCCTTTGCTGCACAGAGCCCAGGAGGGGAGGGGATGGGAACAATGGACCTCGCAGAGTCTCTGCCGGTTGTCCTGTTCATAGGGCACCTGGAGTGGAGGCCCCTTCTCGGAGCAGAGAAGCCAGTGGGTCTCCAGAGGTGGCCAGAAAGGAGAGTGAGCTTTTTCTGTCAAACATGGGGAGGAGAATGGAATTCTGGGGCGCTACCTACAGAAGGGGAAGCTTTCTACAGAAGCAGAGTGTTGAAGGGGGAGAGAGGCTGAGCCATGGCAGTGAAAGACTTCAGGAAGTCCACGGTGCTCACCAAGCCTTGTGCAGGTGGTGCTGGGGGCAGGCGGGAGGGTGTGTGAGCCAGGAAAGAGGCTGGTTCCGCCTCTGGGCACTGTGATAGCATCAGGAATAGCACTGCTGAATGCAAGAGGATCCACAAATGGAAACATTTAATTAATTTATTAAAAGCATTCTAGGCACTAGATATGCTTAGAGGATGAAGAAGCAAGGGTCTGTTCTCAAGGGGCTCACATTCCGGAGGCAGAGGGAGAGAACAAGCTGAGAAATAGACGAATCAGCACTTCAGATATGCTGAGAGCTGGGAAGAAAATAAACCAGAGACTCTGGGTAGGTGGCACCTTTAGATGGTGGGGGCCAGGGGAACCTCTCTGAGGAGCTGATGTCTGAGCTAATAGGGGCCGACTGGTGAGCTACCCGGAAAGAAGGTTCCAGAATGAAGAACCAGTATACAAGGTGACACCCAGCTCCAGAAGCCCTTTTCTGCCATGGCTTTGCATTGTTTTTCTCAACCACTCAACCAGAAATGGACATTCTCTGCTCTGCCTACCCGTACACCAGACCCCCTGCCTCCCCAGGGCCTGTGACTTCTGATCCAGATCCCGTTGGGCTTCCAGTCCTTTAAAATACTCAATGCCGCTGGTAATTAAAAAAAAAAAAACAAACAAGAAAAAACAAATGCTAACACAAGTATGTGGTACCATTTTTCATCTTCAACATTTGAGAGATTAAAAAAAATGGCTAGAATCCAGAGAAGACTGTGTCTTAGATGTTGCAGGTGGACGGGCTGAGAGGCACCTACCTGAAAGCAGCTTGAAAAGATTTATCAAAAGCATAACAGTCATGCCTCGGGAACCAGGAATCTTATTTGAGGATCAGGCATGGAATTAGGGTAAACTATGGCAAAGGTTTATGCACAAAGATGTTCCATTGAGCATTATTTACCAGAGTGCAAGGACAAGGAAGAGGGTCCTTGTGGAGGCCTGCTGGCAGGGAGGTGGGGAGGCGGATAGAGCTGAGAGTGAAACAGGGATGCTCTTTGTAATCAAGTCTGTGATCTTGGGAAGTTCTCCTGGCTCCTTGGCCTCAGTTTCCTCACTGGGAGGAAACTGGGCACTGTGATATCTACAAGAATAGCCTTTCTTTGCAGGAGCAGAGAAGAGTCACTTTCTTAAAGCGCTGATAAGGACTGACCCAGCAGGTAGCCAGCGTGCCAGAGGACCCTCCCACACCCATCGTGACACCTGGCCCAGCGCTCTCACTCCCCGGTCTCACTCCATTCCGACAACCCTGGCGCTACTGTTCCCATTTTGTAGATGAAGAAACAGGCTCTGAGAGGTGAACAGACTTAGCAAAAGTCACCCAGCAACTGTGAGGGACAGAAAGTCCTCAGGGCTTCTGACTTTTGCACTTGCTGTTGCTCCCCCTCCCTCCTCTCCCCACCCCGTGAACACTTACCCATCCTCTAAGACCCAACCCAACTCTCAGCTGCTCTGGGGAGCTTCTCCTGACATCCCTCCCTGTGCCTCCATGACCTCCCGCACCAGCCTCAGCACAGGGAGGCACCTGGTCTGGGGCAAGAAGGGGCTGTGGTTTCAAGTTTAGCTACAGGTTCAAAGGGCTCTACCCCACCATCCACTCCTCCCGACAGCCGGTGGTGCCAATATCCTGGTTGTATCCACCGCGCTGATTAAATAGGTGAAAGAGAATCGCTCATTAGCTTTCCTTGCTACTCAGTGGGTGGTGAGATTTAAAATGAAGTTGCTGCTCCATAAGTGACAGTTGCTCTCCTTCCTCAACGTGGAGGATGTTTCCAGAAAATGGATACCCCCCATTTAATAGTGCATGACTTTGGGCCTCAGTTTCTTTGACTGTCAAATGGCACTTTCTCAGAGGCTGTGGGGAAGGCTGCATGAGTTAACAGATGTAAAGCCTTCTCAGCAGAGACTGTGGGAACTGGGGCACAAAGGTGAGCTATTATGTTCATTCATGTCATTACCGATGGGCGCCCTCCGTGCCTGGGTAATTGTGTGAGAGCTGGTGAAGGGCAGGGCTGCGTCCTTAGGCCCCAGGGTAGGGCCTGGCACGGAGCCGGGCTGGCTCCGCTGAGCTGGGCAGGGCAGGGGTGGATAGGGACGTCCCAAGGGAGGTGGTGTTTGAGCGGGAGGGAAAGTGATTGAGGCTGGTTATGTGTGTATGTGTGTGTGTTGTGCATGCGTGTGCGTGTGTGTGTGTGTGTGGTCTCTGTGGGCCAGCAGCCAAGTCTCTAACGAAATGTGTGACCGCGGCTTCCGGGGAGCTCCCAGGGGAGCCCTTGGGACCAGCCAGGTGGCGGCCCCAGTGCGGGGTGGGGTGGAGGGTGGGGGGAGGGTAGGGGATGGGGAAGTGGAGGGGAGGGAGGCTGGGAGGGGGTTAGGGGGGACCCTGCTCCACCCCGCCCACTACTGAGTCCCCTGATCTGGATCTACAGGGCAGTTGTGAAGAAAGGTGGGCAAGGCCTGAGTGGGGAGGGGGGCAGTGTGAGGTTGCAGCAGGGCCTGGGCGGCTACCAGCTTTGGATTCTGGAAGCTTCCTAGCTGGACTTCGGGTCTAGCCTCTTTACGGTTTATTTACCCACCTCACCCCCTGACTTGATCTGTGGCAGGGCCTAGGGTCAAGCCTGTGCCTCCTCACCCACGCCCTGCTCCTTGGAGAGTCACTTAAACTTCCGTGCCTCAGTTTACTATAAACCAGGGATAATCCTGGCACCATGAATAGAAACGAGGACAAAGAAAGGCTTAGAACAGGCACCCAGTCTGCTCTCAGGAAATGTCGGCTGTTAACAGGTGCTCAGCCTCTTTGCCTACTTGTTGTGTTAGGGGTGGGCTCTTGGGGGGAGCTTTGGGGCCGGTACTAAGGCTGGTACTGAAAGGAAGTGTGAAGGAACTGTGAAGCCGCAGCTGGGTCGGAAGCCAAGTCTCCTGGTCCTGCTGGCTTCTCCAGTGCTCTGATTTCACGGTGGGGGAGAGCCAGGCCTGGTGGGTGGGGTTGGTGGTGCAGGAAAGGCATCCCCAGAGGATGGGGTGCTTAGCAGAGGACCCTGTAGAAATAAGGAGTGTGTCAGAGACAGCCAGGGGAAAGGACTAGCAAGGACAAAGGCATGAGGTGTGGCTCTAACTTGGGAGCAGCATTCTAGCAAGCAGGGGAACAGGGCGTATTGTGAATGGACTTAGATCTCAAGCACGGAGCTTGGGCTTTATCTTGGGGAGCCTCTGAAAGCTGAGGGTTAAGATAGGGTGGGGGGAGCACTAGACAAGCCCACTCTCAACACTGACAGTAGCTCCAGCCCCACCCAGAGACTGCGAAGTGCCCAGCACTTGGCAGGTTATATTCACTAACCTGTCTCAGATAACCCTACGCTGTTCCCCCTTTGAGGTATAGAGAGGTTAAGGAAGTAATCCCAGGTCACACAGCAGTTAAAGGCCAAACCGGAATTTGAAGTCGACTAGTCCTTCAGCCTCGTCAGTCCCCACCTCTTGCCCCTGTGGCTTCTCCCTGATCAGCCTTGAGTGCCAGCCCTTCCCCTGCTGACCCTGAGGCCAGGCCCTGCACCTCTTCTCTCGGAGCTGGACCCTTTCTGCTCAACACCTGGGTTTCTACTCTGAGGCTGAGGATGCACAGGCAGCTGAAATGACTCACCCAGGGCCAGCCTACTTGGGTGGCACAGCCAGTGTCTCTGCAGAGTTAGCCCTCTCTGCTGCCTCCTTCCCAGCACAGAGCCCGGCACAGGTCAGCTGCATGTAGAGGTTTGCCCAGTGAATTGGTAAATGGGAGTCTGCCTTGGCTGGGTCTCTGGACCAGTTTTAGGAGGATCCAGGGCCGGGAACTAGCATGGAGTGGGTCCCTGCACATGCCAGGAGCCACCCTTCCACACAGCGCTGGGAGTCTGCTGCTATTACCTCATTTTTTAAAAAAGGCAGGATCTATGTGCCTCTGGAGAGGGAAGAGGGGCTCCTTTAATCAAAGCTCCCCCTCCTTTGATGAGATTCCCAGAAAACCAAACTGAAGCCAGGGCGAGGGGTGGGGGCCTTGCTGGCAGTTGCCAGGGGCCCTGAGCAGGCTCCTCATGTTTTCAGGAAGAGTTTTCCCCTTCGGGCCTCTGCTGGAGGGTAGGAGAAAGCAATCTCAAGGAAGGGGCAACAGCTTGGGCTGTGGGAACCCACAGCCGGGTGTCTGGACCCCGCCTGCTTCGGATGTCCTGTCTGACCTTGGCAACCGTCAAACCTCTCAGAATTCCACTTTCCTCCTCTGTGAAATGGGGAGAACGTGCCTCCCATCAGGCTTTGGTGATGACCGCCAGGTTGCCCATAGCAAGCCCCTGGTGAGTGTTCACTTTTGTCAGTGGAATCAGAATTAGGCTTTTGGAACTTGGGTGATATGGACGGTCAGGAAAGAATTAGTAAGAGACAGGACCAGGGCTGTACTGCCCTGGGACCAGGGACCCAGCTGCATCTGCCTGCTGTTTGGCAGCACCCTGCTGGGGTGGGGGTGGGTGAGCTCAGACTTGGCTCTGGACAACAGCAGAATGAAGCATGACACAGATCTGAGTGCGAATCCTGCCTCTTCCACTTATTGCTGGTTGACCTCGGGCAATTTGCCCTCTTTCAGCTTCAGCTTCCCCCTCTGTAAGTGGAGATACTTTTATCCACCCCACAGGCGTGGGTAAGCTCATAAAAGGATCAGCATACCGGGTGCATGTCCACCCAGATGTCAACCTTTTAGACGTCAGGAAGTGCTTTATTTTAAAACATGCTTTCCTCTCCAGGCCTCTCCACCTTAAATTAATTTGTTTTTGGAGTACTACGTGGACTGCTTGTAGCTGGCTTCCTTCCCTCCTTCCCTCCACCCACCGATGCGTCAGCGCCTTCAGGGCCGACCCCCAAGGGCACTGAGGCCAGAGAAATGGGCTTGGAGCAAGGTGGTTGCCAGAGGAACGACAGGCGGAACCGGGTCAGAGGTGCGAAGCCTCTCTCAGGCTTGCGGGCAGCACGGGCACCCGGCAGGGGCCTGGACGTGCAGAAGCACCGAGAACCGGTTCTGAACGGTGCGGCCCTCTGCTGGCGTGCGGAGGGGTGCAGGTAGGGAGCCGGTGTCACCTAGACCCTTGGAACCCCACCTCCCGGGATCCGGGAGCGGCTCTCCAGAGAATGAGGCGTGTGCGCCCCCTGCTGGCCCTCGGGATAACTGCACCTTTGGCTTCGGATGCTGGGACTGGAAACTTAATGCCCATAAAAGGCGGAGTATCTGAACTGAGAGGATCTCAAAGATCAGCTGCGGGGCCGTTTACCCACGAGATGGGAGGCTCTGTGTGGGCCAGGGAGGCTGCACACAGCAGGGGTTTGGGGAACGGACTCTAAGACTTGGCTCTGTCGCTGCCTGCAGTGGAGAGGTGAAGTCCCTAAGGAGGGCCCTTGCAGCTGAGCTTCAGCTTAGAGGGAGGTGGGGCTGGGGCGTCATCACCGAGAGCAGAGGGGGTTTCAGATTCTTGGTCCCTCACCCATCCTGGCTGGCCCAGTCATGGGATTTCCTGTTTTGTCTTGAAGTGGCGTCACTGCAACCGGATAGCTGAAAGGGGAATTCAAGTTGCACGTGTGCGTGTGCATGTGTGTCAAAGGGTGGCACGTGTCCATCAGCAGGTGCCCTGGGCTGGTGAGATCACTGTATGAATGCTCTGGTCTTCCTTTAAAGAGTTTTGCTCTC